AAAAAAAAAAAAAAAAATTTCCCTGCAGGGGGTTAAAAAAAAGCATCTCCCTACAAGACCCAGAGGCCAGTAGCAACTTTGCTGGCCTTAGCCAGGAGCTAGGCTCATCCCAAATGCCCAAAAATCCAGTCCCTATTGTACAAGCCAGAGGTCAGGAGGCTAAAGCACAACCCCAAGCCCCAGACCCAAAGGTAGCAAGGATCCTGACTAGGAGCTAGGAGGAGCTTCCTTGCCCCCTTCCCAATAGGCCGAGAACCTGGCACAGACTCTTCACTGTGGCCTCATAGTCCTAACAACCCCCTCACAGCCCCAAGCACACCCCAGCCTACCCAGCATCTTGTCCCTGAGCCACAGTCTCCAAGGCATCCCATGAATGTATCTACAGCTCTACATTCACCTCCCTCCATTGCCACAAATCTACTAGGGCAGAAGCTATGTCCTAGAACATAGCCCAGGGCCGGGCCCATAGGGTCACTCAGAAACTAGAATGGAAAGGAGGGATGGACTGAGCACCATGGTGTTACAGAAATCAATATAAACTACAGAACAAGTTTCCTGACAAACTGCATGAACAAGAGGATGTAGCATGCTCTCTAGGAACTGGTTCCATAGAACACAGGTGAGGGTCCTTACCATGAAGGGTGACAGAAAAATGACACACACACAGAATCAGAGTCTCTGAGAGATCATACATACCTCTATCATCTGGACACTTTTCTCCATTTCTGATTGCAACTTCTCCTTCAGTTCAGCTGCAAGAAAAGCACATAAAGGAACTCAGACTCAAGTTTCAACCTGTCCAAGGAGTTGCTCAGCCAGGAGGTGAACAGGCTCTGCTCCTGCTGATGCCATGGCAAAGACCTTTGCTGGCCCAGGATGGACAGCAAGACACATCTGTGGTGACATTGCTTTAAATAAGAGATTGTATTCATGCCGAAACAAAGGACACCAGAATTCCTAGGCACACAGGGCAACCTGAGACAGCAGATGATAGTGGGCTGATGGGCTCCCTCCATCACTGACCTCTGGCCACAAGGACCCCAGGGCTGTTCAGCTCAGGCTCTATGCATATTCCAGGTGGGGTTCTGGAGATCAAGACAGGAGAGACAGTTCTAGGGTCCAATGCTGGCCCCAAGAAGGAGGAAGCACAAGAAAGGAGCCTCCCAACAAGCACCTTGTGCCAGGGGCATAGGAAGAAGCACATGGACTTGAGAAGGGGCAGCCATCAGGTAACAAGTGGTAGGACAGGGATGGTAGGGGTCAGTACAGATGATCTGGACAAAATGCTCTCCTCAGGGCAGCCAAAAGGCCAGATTCAGCCATATTGTATTTTATAAAAAGAAAAAAAATTTTAATTATTTGTATTTACTTGAAACTACACAAAGTGGACTAGTCAGTGGCACGTTAATTCAGGTGGCTGGATTTCTTCTTTTCTTTTATTTTCTGGAGAGGTTTTTGTTATAGGGCGTCTGTGCTTGCCAGAAAGACAGAGACAGACAGAGAGACAGAAAGCGAGAAATCACCCCCCGCCCCTCCCAGGAGGGATGGTCACACCGCAATCCCTTCTCCTCCATTCTCCTCTAAGGATCTTGGGCACGCATGCACACGCACCCGGCGTGAGTTTAAGCCACCAGGTCTGGGCCTCGAACCGCAGTCGACTACCTGGGAGTCCAGCAACATAGCCATTATGCCAACTGCTGGTCTCCAGGTGGCTGGATTTCACATGGCAAGTTATGCAGTTTGAGTCTCAGATCCAACTGCTTGGAAAGCATGTTGGGCACATGTAAATGCTCAAAATCCCAAGAGGAGAATGGAAGATAAAGGACTGCTGCATGGCCATTACCCACGAGGATGATTTTTCCACTGTCCTCTCTCTCTCCAACAAGTGCACATGCCCTATAACAAAAACTTAATAAAAAACAAGACAAAAACTACACAAAGAAACACAGGAAAGCATTACAAGAAATTATGGAAACTGGAGGGACTTTCCTACACACCTGTAGAAAGACATGCTGCCTTTCTTTTGAATTGATCCAAAAGGCAGGTGATTAGCACTCAGCCCATGAGAGGTTATGACTATCAAGGATGCAAGGTTCCCCCCTGGGTAGATGAGTACTCTAACACATATTGCAGTGTTGCGCACATAACTTGGTGAGTGTATCACAGCCCCGGACTATGCACTTAAACTGGGTGAAGTGTGTTTACATATATCTCAAAAAAGATTTTACTTAAGAAAAAATGCTGAGAAAGGTAGTAACTGTAAGGGCAGCAGGTAGAGTTGTGGTTGGAGAGCTGGACTTCCACATGGCTGACCACAGGTTCGAGTTCTGGACCTGGCAGCTTCCTTTCTCACTTTCCTCCTTTCTCTCTGTCTCTGGTCAAATAAGGATAATAATAATAATAATAATAAATTAAATTAAATAATTATTTTACAAAAAGTTGTAATTAGGGGATCAGCAGTTGGCATAATGGCTATGTCACTGGATTCCCATATAGTTGACCACAGTCTGAATCCCAGACCCAGTGGCTTAAACTCACACCAGGCACATGTGCATGCGTGCCCAAGATCCCAAGAGGAGAATGGAGGAGAAGGGATTGTGGGGTGTCCATCCTCCCTGAGGGATAATTTCTCATTTTCTGTCTCTCTGTCTGTCTCTACCTTTCTGGCGAGCGCACATACCCTACAGCAAAAACTTCTCAAAAAAAAAAAAAAGTTGTATTTACTTTTTGGAAACTGGAGGGACTTTCCAGTTTTTGTGCCTTTTAAAATGAAAACATAAAAATCTGTAGTATACCTAAACAAAGGACTAGGTTTAGATCAAAGAAGCACTGGGCCCAACTGCAAATAGCAGCCACTAGCAGGACTGACTGGCACAAATAGACCCTAAGCCCCGATAGTTCCTCTTTTTTTTTTTGGAGAGATTTTCACTGTAGGGCGCGTGCACTCGCCAGACAGACAGAGAGACATAGAGACAGAAAGCGAGAAATCACCCCCCAGGGGGGATGGTCACGCCGCAAACCCTTCTCCATTCTCCTCTCGGGATCTTGGGCACGCACGCACACGCGCCCGGCGTGAGTTTTAAGCCACCGGGTCCAGGACACGAACCGTGGTCGACTACATGGGAATCCAGCGACATAGCCATTACGCTAACTGCTGGTTCCCAATAGTTCCTCTTTGAAGTGAGGGTAGACCAGGCACCCCTGTCAGGTGGTACTCCTCACCCATGCAAACTTGTCAGCATATACCTCCCATCTCCCAAGGAGGGAGCCACCAAGAGAATTGCCTGCTTCAGAGTGATAGGAGGAATCCACACTCTATACAAGGTGAGAAAATTGATTCAGAAAACAAGTATACTATGTTTCCACAGGTCCTGGCCACAGTCAGGGAGGGCCCTGGCCACACTCAGGTACCCTAAGCTGGGAAGTACCTGCTTCCTGTCCACACCTGAGCACCACCTCCTCCTTTTCACGCGTGTGCTGCTCTCGCAGGAGCTCCAGTTCGTGCTGCTGCCTGCTCTGCAGCAGGGCCAGCTCCTGGGCATGCCGGCCATTCAGCATTTCACGTAGCTCCGTTAGTGCTGTCTCCTTCTCCCTCTGCAAGTTGGCCTGCATCAGCTCCAGCTGTGCTGTGTGCATGTTACTCAGACTCAGGCGCAGAGCCTCCAACTCCAGGCCAGGCACCGTCTGCAGGGAAGGGGAACATGTCTCACAAGGCACCAAGCTCAGGACCAGTGCATATGAAAGACATAGAAAAGCAGAGAATGGAAATAAATGGGTGGAGGGATGAGAAGAACATAGCTATGAAACCACAGGAATCATTAAAGGGAGAACCAGGATGGCATGAGGAGGCTGGATGGGGTGTTCAGATGCCAACAGATGCAAACTTGTCAGCATGTACTTCCCACCTCCCAAGGAGGGAACCACCAAGGGAAATGCCTGCCCCAGAGTGACACCAGAAATCCACACTCTACAGAAGGCGAGAAAAGTGATGCAGAAAACTAGTATACTATGTTTCCACAGGTCCCAGTCACAGTCAGGGAGGGCCCTGGCATCCCACCACCCTTTCCTCCCAGGAATTAGACACTGTGGCCCTGAGCTCTGCATCTGTGCTGTTCCACATCGCTGCTCATGTCTACAGAACATGATTTGCAGCTGACAGCCAATGATTGCTAGCCCTGAATCAGTGTGCCTCTCTCACACAGCCTACTGCCTGGTCAGACTCCAGCCACCCAGGCATCTGCACATATCCCCTTTGCCTGCCCACGTTTTGGCCACACAAACAGAATGTGGGACAAACAAGGCAGGAGAGAGATGACAGCCCCAAGCAGCACCCATCCTATCCACTCTGTGACCCCCTCTCACTACAGGACCCTACACAGCTCCTAAAGTCCACTGCCCCCTGGTATAGACACAGGGTACACGCCACAGGGGGGAGCACAAGGCTGTGCTGTGTGCATCACCTGAGCCTGCTGTTCCACTTCCATTGCTGCCTGTGGTTGCTGGCCAGGTTCATCCTCGGGTCTGCCCACCAGTGCAGCAACTTCACCTTCACACTCCTGGGAAAGGAAAGCAGAGGACATGGCCCAGAAAACTCCTGTATAAAACAGTCATTCGGAAGTAACTGTGACGAATTCAAGAAAACCTGTCCTCATAGACATCATAGCAGCACCATTTGCAATGCCAAGTGATGAACACATCCAATGTCCGCCAATGAGGAGTGGATAAACAAAGGTAGAATGTCCACACACCAAGCTGTTACTCCGCTGTAAAAGGGATGATGTACTGACATGCTACTACACAATGAGTCTTGAAGACAGTAGGCTCACTGAGAGCCAGTCACAAAGGACCACGTGTTGTGAGAAGCCCCTATAGGATATGTCCAAAATAGGCAAACTCTGAGGGGCTGACAGAACCAGGATACAAATGCCCACAAACATCTCAGTCACAAGATGAGCACACAGGGGCTCTTCTAAGAATAGAGACATGCAGCAACCAGAAAATGTTCAAGGAACAAATGCAACCCTGAGGAGTACGTCCACAGGCACCTGGCACACAGTGGGGCCAAACCATTGAGCAACAAGTCCAATTCCAAATAAACAGTTCATTTTGCCTCTGAATTCCATGCCAAGTGGAGACTAATCCACTCCTGTAAAAGAAAGTAACATAGGACCAGTAGGCGGTGTGGTGGTTAAAGGGCTGGACACTCCCACATGGCCAGCCATGGTTCGAGTCCTGGACCTGGTGACTTGCTTTCTCTTTCTCTCTCTCTCTGGTCAAATTAAAATAAATGAATGAATAAATAAAATTAAATAAATATTTTTTTAAAATATAAAGTAAGTACCAGGCCAGCTGGTGGCATAATGAGTAAAGCAGCCAGTTCCTACATGGCCGACTGCATGGTTCAAGTCCTGGACCCAAAAGCTTGAAAAACATACTGGGTACATGTAACATGCTTGCCCAAAATCCCAAGAAGAAAATAGAAGAGAAGAAATTGTGGTGTGGCTATACCCTGGGGGGGCGGGGGGGGTTCTCACTTTCCCTCTTTATCTGAGTCTCTTTCCAGAGAATGCAAGTGCCCTATGGCAATTTTTTTTCTTTCGAGAATGAAAAAAAAAAGTATGGAGATATTCAAAATGAAGTTTCAAAATAGTTCTAGGAAACAAGAAATTATGCAGAATGACATGACCAGTTAAAGTGGAATACAATGTCCTGAAACAGTAAAGGCAAAATTTACAACTCAGTGGACAGATTAAATATACAGATGGATAGACCTGTCAGGGTGGAAGACAATCCAGATAAATTATCCCACCTGAAGCTGAGAGAAAAAAAAAAGAAAGAAAGAAAAGCACAGAAAGAAAATGGAGTAGGTGGGACCAACCCGATGGTGGTGGCAAATTAAAGTGGCTAGGTCCCACATGGCCAGCTGTGTGGTTCAAGTCCTGGCTCCCCCACAGCTTGGAAAATATACTGGGTCTGTGTGTCCAAAATCCTGAGAGTGGAGAATAGATTGCAGTGTGGCCACCTCCCCAGGGGGTGGGAGGGTGATTTAGGGTGATTTCTCACTCCTCCCCCTCTTTGAGTCCTTCTGTGGCACGTATATGTGTCCTACAGCAAAACTTAAAAAAAAAAAAGAAAAGAAAAGAAAATAGGGAGGGATACAAGAACAGGAGAGAAAGTCTAAAAATATATATCTGAACTTCACAAGGCAAGGAGACAGAACAGACAAAAGCTTTACACAGAGACAGAGGCTATGGGTTTTAGGAGCAACAGATAAGGCATCAAGTACACATTGAAGACTATAACCATCAAACATCAACAACTGCACAAAATGTAAGTGAATCAAATAATCCAATAAAGATTATCCAAATGATTTTTAAAATCAGACCTATGGGGGCTGGCAGGTGGTGTGATCATTAAGGGCACTAGACTCCACATGGCTGCCCATGGTTGAAATCCCGGCTCTCTCTCTCTCTCTCTCTCTCTCTCTCTCTCTCTCTCTCTCTCTCTCTCTCTCTGTCCCCCTCTGGTCAAATTTAAATACATACATACATACATAAAGATAAATAAAATAATTCTTTTAAAAAAATCTGCCCTATGCCTTTTCATCAGACAAAGCACATCTCTAAAATAAAGATACAAAGATGTCGAAAAGCAAAGGGTAGGAAAACATCAAGGCCAGTAGATGGTGTAGTGGTTGAGATGCTAGACTCCCACAAGGTCCACTGCAGTTCGAGTGCTGGACCTGGTGGCTTGCTGTCTCATTTTCCCTATCTCTCTCGTATATGCAGGTGCCCTATAATAAATTTTAAAATAATAATAAAAAATAAAATTAAATAAATAAATCTTTTTAAAAAAAGACAAAAGACCAGCATAATATATGACTCATTTACATGAAGCTCTAAAGCCAATCAGCACGAAGGTCAGAGGGTGTTAAATCAGGGATAGGATGGAGGAGGTGCTTGGTCCAGCCTCATCTTAGTTCTGGACTTTAGGAAGATTTGGAGTTTCCTGTGTTAATTTGTTATGCTACATGTAAGCACTCTGATGTACTTTTTCACATATATTTTGTAAGTAACAGGGTGAAAATTGTGTAGTTAAGGGTGGAGTTTATAGATTCCACTGGAGGCTGTTTTCCCAGGTCTGCCTGTGACTTAGATCTCTCTTGCAATAACAAAAACCAGATATGCTTATTGCCTGATCCAGGGTAAATGCTAGTACCAAATGTCTAAAATAAAGGGATTTTTTCTTTTTTCTATGCCATAGGGCACATGCGCCTGCCAGAGAGAGAGAGATGTGAGAAGAAAAATGAGAAATCACCCCCTGAAGGGATGGTCACTCCAGAATCCCATCTCCTCCACTCTCCTCTCAATATTTTGGGCATGCGTGCACACACGCCCAGCATGACTTTTTTTTTTTTTTTTTTTGAGAGAGGTTTTTGCTGGAAAAATGAGCTTTCCAGAAAGACAGAAAAAGCATGAGCTTTCCAGAAAGACAGAAAAAGACGAGAGAGACAGAAACCAAGAAATCACCCCCTGGAAGGATGGTCATGCTGCAATCCCTTCTCCTCCATTCTCCTCTTGAGATCTTGGGCATGCACACACATGTGCCCGGCGTGAGTTTAAGCCACCAGGTCCGGGACTTGAACCGCAGTCGACTACTGGGAGTCTAGCAACAGTGGTCATTAGACCATCTGCTGGTCCTGCCCAGCATGACTTTCAAGCCACCAGGTCTAGGACTTGAACTGCCGTCAACATGTGGAAATCCAGTGCTTTAACCACTACGCCACCTGCTGGCCATAAAATAAAGGCTTTTAACACAATTTTACATCTAATAAATTTTCCTTTGAAAGTTAACCACATTAATAAAGTAAAAGTAATCAATTCAGCCCATTTAGAACTCATGCCAGACACTAGGCAGAAACCAGGATGGCCCACACCTCCCTTCTCTCAGCTGGCACAATTCTAGGCCTCAGAAGTGTGCTGAACAACCACCTCACTCATTCAACACAGGCAACCGTAACAAGGGGAATTCATAAAATCCCTCACATTTATGCAGATGGGCTTTCTCTAAGCGTCCCAGGAGAAGATAGTAGGTAATGAGGAGGGCAGCTTCGGGCCTGGCCACAGGGTCTGCCAAAAGGCTTCCTACCTGCGGCAACACTGAGGAAGTGCGGGCAAGTGGCCTGACACTTAAAATTACTAGTTTTTCTTTTCAGGGAGATTTTTGCTATGGGGCATGTGTACCCTCTAGACAGAGAGAAAGCAAGCAACGACACCCCCCCAGGGGGCATGGCCACACTGTAATCCTTTCACCTCCATTCTCCTCTCAGGATCTTGGGCCCACATGCACACGTGCCCAATGTGA